GATTTGAATCCAGGTCTTCTGCAAGAACAACGTTCTTAACCTCTGAGCCATCTCTCCAGCCCTAGCTCCAAGTATTTGAACACTTTGTCCCCAATTGGCGCTATTTATGGAGGTTCAGGCAGTGTGACTTGCTGGAGGAAGCATGTCACTGGTGGGTGGCTCTGAGAGTATATGGCCTCATCCCACCTCCAGTTTCTCTCTCTTTGCTTCCTGGGCCTGTTTCAAGGTGTGACCTCTCAGCTTTAGGCTCTGGCTGTCTCCTGACATGCTTCCCTGGACATGATGGACTCTTATCCGTCTGGAACCACAAGCCCCAATAAACCTTCCTTCTGTAAATTGCCTCAGTCATGCTTTAGTGTGTTCTTTCACTGCAACAAGAAAGTTACCGATTCAAGAGGTTATCGTAACACTTTACAGATCCTTCTGAGGTTTCTCCTTTAAGAAAAAGAAATATATTTTATATTTCCTAGTACCTTGTGCTAGTGTGTACTTGTTAAAAAACTAATTAACCAGTACTGATACATTATTAACGCCCATAGTTTGTGCCATTTCATTCTTTTACAGTTCTAGAGGACATGACAAACAGATGTCAGGTATTTACCACTACAATACCACACTGAGGTCAACACTGCACTAGCAGTCTCCTGTGCTCTGCTACTATTCCCTCCCACCCAGGCTCCTGGTAACCAGCTGCTGAACTTTTTCTGTCTACTGTAGGTTTGGTTTTTGCAGACTGTCATATATTTGGAACATGAAGTACGTAACCTGGAGGAAAACCTACTCCTGGCATTCTGCTAAATAGAGTATTAAACTGACTCATAATGACTTACTGTTATACCCATAGATAAATGCATCTCTCAACTCTCACCACAGAAGGTTCTTGCAGCAGATGACTGTTAACATGGGTACCCACAACTGGTGAACATGGAGAGAAGCAGAGACTGCAGAATGCTCATCCCTAAATGGGACCCCTAAATTTCACCCTGCAGGGCGGGTCTCCGCAGCAGGCTCAGGCGGCTGCAGGTGGCTGCAGGCGGGCTCTGCACCAAGCTGCGGGAGGCTCGGGCTAGCTGCGGGAGGCTCTCCCTTTGCTCGCTGGTTGTTGGCCACCGGTCTGCAGGGGCAGGGAGAGTAAAAGCAGCCAGCGGGGTCAGACTGGCCAGTGAATGCTGACGGAAGACAGCTCTTCTGGGAAGACTGATCACAGGCTGGTCCCAGGCACAGTGAAACAGCTCAGCTCCAGACAAATTCAGTGATACAGCTCCAGCCAAGTTCAGTGATACAGCTCCGTTTTCCGGGGGAAAACTAGAGGATTTATAGTGTGGAGGCAGTAGCAAAAGCCTCAGCTGATGGGTGCTCTGTAGGATGCTTTATTTACATGTGGCAGTGGACTTCTGTCAATCAGGCTGTCAGACAATGCCTGATTATCATATAGAAAAAACCTGGTAGTTTCTATGCCAGAGGTCAT